AAATATATTATTTATAACTATAAGAATATATACAATTTGTTTAAATAAAGATTATTAATAAAGTTTTTAAGATATTAGCTTTGCTAAAATTTGAGATTTGGGATAATAGACAAATCCTAAACTATAGTAAGTTAGAATTTTGCCAACATGTATAATTATAAGAGTACAACTAACTACATATATAACTTTTGTTGTCTAATTTAAGTGGTCCACCCTAAGGTTCTATACTAGCTGCTATATCTATAGCCTAACTAGAAAGCTATTTATTTAAAATCTCTAGCTTCAATCCCTATATTATGTTTCTTTTAATATGTTCTTTCAGAATAATTTGTTATTAAAAACTCTAGAACTTTAGTTACTAGTTAATCTAGTTTTTTAAAGAAGCATTTATTTTTGTAGTAAACCTAACAGAGCAGTTTATATTCTACACATGTATTTACTTGCATGTTTGGTAACTTTTACTAATTAGTACCTGTTATGCTGCTATTACTGGGTTCATATCTCAAGCTATCTTTTTAGATACTGCTATAACCTGATCTGTATCTCAAGCTACAATTTTTCTAATTAGTTTTCCATTATATACTTTTTGCTCTTGCAAAGTTTACAATAACTCTATTATTCATGTTTCAACTTCTTTTTTTTCTAGATTTTTTACTAGTCTCTTTTTTACTTCTAGCCAGCAATTCAGAAAAGTTAGTCTGCCAAGGCTTATAGTCTTTCTCTTCTTAGTATATGCTTCCAAAGCACAAGTCCTTTTTCTTTAGTAGCAAGTTAGTGGTTTGGCTAGTGTGTCTCTCTACTTGAGGATCTAGTTGCTCAGTTTTCTGATTTCAGTTTTTGGTTCCAAATTTAGTCTTTTTGTAGCACTATCAAAAATCACTACTACTTTCTAACTATAGAAAAGGACAAAATTATTTTGGGCTTTAAAATCTGAAATTAAAATTTAAAAATAAAATTGTTTTGACTTACTTTTATTTAAAAGACAAAATTTTTTGATACTTTTTTTAAATTGATAAAATTATAAGGAATATAAATATATAAATTAGATTTGCTCTTTCTTATAAAAAATTTTAATTTGCTTTAGTGAAGATAAAATAAGCTATTTTTAAAAACCTATTTATATAGTATATATATTTCTAACTCAGAACTTGCCAAACAGGTTTTTAGTTATTTTAGTTTCTTAGATTTATTATACCAGAGCTCCTATTCTAGATAGTGTAATTAAGATTACAAATTAGAATCTAACTGATCATAATAGCTGTTAACCATATTACAAAGCTAATTTTTAAAAATATTGTCTATAGGATTTGAACTCTAGACCTGCTGTTTGGGAGTATGACAACTCCATCACTTTACTAAGTTGCTATACTCTTTGTATTTGTTTTTACTTATATAAACAACACTATATAAATTATTCAATTTAAAAAAAAACTTGATATATTTTTAATATTGCAATTTCTTTTTACAATATAGCAAATTTATAAGTTAATTTTTCTAAATCTATCCTTATATCTAAATATTTATTTGTATTTATCTTCTTTAACTCCAACATATTATCTATTTTAATTTACCAACTCTTCAAATTTTTAGATTGCTAATTTACTTTTAACAACAAATATACACAACAAATTAAATTTATTTAAGAGAAAGCTCTATAGTTAGCTAATATTGCTAGTACTAAAATTATTACTAGCAAGCAAATTTCTCATATTATTAATATAGTTATTATTTTAACTACTAAATACTATATTTAAAATAATATTATTTCTCTTTTTACTTGTAACAAATTTTTTAAAAAATATCTAACTATTGCTAAATACAAATCTTATTTTTCTTAATTCATACCAAATAGTACTATACTTAACTATATATAATTTCTACAATATTCATAGCCTATAGGATATACAACTTTAACACTATATTAGTAATTTCTTTAATTGTATTAACAATATATCTACTTTTGGCATAACAATCTATATCAGACTTTAATAGCTTTAAAATAATCTATAGTCTACTATTAGCATCTTGCAATACTTTAATCTTTTAATTAATAGCCTTAACAAATATACTAATATCTTTAATATTATCTAACTTTTTAATTCACTTAATATCTCTATTCTTTTTAATTACAACCTTTTTTGGCCACAAACTATATTTGGTAGTAACTCTCTTCTAGAAAATATTCTCTTAAAAACTATATTTTTAAAAAAAAAAAAAGCCAGCTTGTTTTTTTTATCTAAAAAATACTATCTTGTCTAATACCTTCTTTTATATTATTATATCTTTATTCTAATCTATTAGATATAATCTCTTTATTTATTAAGCTAACTTAAGAGAAGTGCCATTTATTATGTAATTTCAAGAGGGTTAGCAATCCCATTACATCCATATATTATATATATAAATTATGGTTAGTTGCTAATTTGATCACAAAGGGGGAAGGAGGTATGACCTTATAATAAAAAGAAATTATATAATAAATGGCATTTCCCTTAATTGGTAATCTACAAGTCAACCAGAGAGTGATCATAGTAAAACATAATGCAGAGTACTTATAGAAATTGAGGCTTTGTAAATGTAGCATACATGTATCTAAAACCTTTTTTTATACTAAATTATTTAACTTAAGAGACTTTTGTAGAGCTTGTTAAGATGTATCTAATGATGGTTAAATCATCTAAATCAGCCTGATAAATGCCAAGATATCTTTAAAAAACCTTTCTTTAACTATATAAATTTCTTTGTAAAACAATAGTATTGTTTTAAAAAAATTTACATAGTTGTGTTATTTCACGCTTATATGGTAGTGGATTAATTTTTTATTGATTTTGATAAGTTATTAGTTTTAACAGGTTAGATTATATCGTAATATATAAACAAAATCTGTAAATTTATTGTCAAATTATCAAACTTATTTTGATAATAAGCAATCCAAAAATCAGAAATTTACTATCAAAGAATATACATTTTTATTAATTTCAAATATGCATAAGTATAATAAATGTGATTTGGATTAAATTTACTCACATTAAATTTTAACATAATGCCAAAATTTCTAAAGCTCTACCTATGAGTCATAAAGTAGATGAGCACAATAAAGATTTCCGAACTTTTAAGTTCATAAATTTGATTTTTGAGCGTCAAAAATAGACTCAAGTTCAAGCTTTACGTCCATAAACTCAAGCTCAATATTCAAGATCGGATCCTTGAATTGTTTATTTGAACTTATTAAGACTGAACCGAACGAACCACTTAACATCCCTAATAATAAATAGATAAAATGCATTAAATGCATGAAATTTAAGGAAAAAACATAGATTTACTCAAAAATCCCAATATCTACGATCTCATTAATCTGCGAATTATTAAATAGGATTATAATAATAAAAAAAAAAGATCGTAAATTTAATCAACCTCCTCTTCAGTGAATTCACTGTCATTTTCTCCAAATATATCATCATATTCATTAAATTCATCGAGTTCGTATAAATTTCCCTCTTCATCTTGCATTAATTCACCTGAAATGATGGATACCGAATAATTAATTAAAGAGGAAATATTTCAAATGTGTGTATAAATTACCTTCAACTTGTTCTTTTGCATTTTGAAGATCACGCATTAATTCTTCGACCTAAGTTCATAAATTTTGTTGAGATAATTTGCTTTACTAATTAGGTACATAAATTACTTACCCTGTTTGCAGAAGGATCACCTTCTTCTTCTTCTTCCTCTTCACCTCCATCGTCATTTTCTAAACCATTATCACGCAGTAGATCTTCAAATTCCTTATCATCAATGACTGTACCTTCAAGCAGTGCCTTAAATTTTTTTCTCATTATCTTACGCATTTTCAGCACAACACTTCTTTTATAATGTCCATCTCGCTCCTTACAACGATGATATTGAAAATAAAAATAAAAATGTTTATATACTTGTGATGAATAATATAGATAAATTGATAGTATACTAACAGTACAAGTGTCCTGTACGGAATCATGGGAATCGATAAGACTTCTCATTAAGGGGTCAGTTATATCACAAAGTTGAAAAATTGCAATATCTCGCTCTGCGGTTTTACCATCAAAAATATGCGTTGTTCTGAAACCGAAAATTAAATATGTAAATATTTCGCTGGAGTATATCTAATAAATTACATATGAGGTCGTACTTTATATAATTTTCTGGTAACAGGGATAATTCATCCATTTCATTAGTTAAATCAGCCTGCACACGAAGTAAACGCTTTGCTCTCTCAAGTCGAACAGGACGTCTGTTATTTCGGATGTCCGTAACTTGATAGCTATGAGAAATTCATATAAGATTGCTCAATGCTAGCCAACATAAAATCATACAACGTATTATAATTTACATACAATCTAGCCTCTTTGTTTTTTCGTGGATCATACCCATATCGCAACCAACAATCTCGCCAAGGACCATTTAACATCAAATATGCGACCATTGGCAATAACCTAGTAACGGACAGAAATGATTTTCATTGAATTATACTAAGAGTTTCCCACAGGATGAATGATAAAGTTAGAATATAATTGCTTGCATTTTGATAGTTCTCCGATCACAAGCTGGCAAATTATTCATCAATGCCAGTCTTGTCCATATCGGTCTTTCTGCAAATAGCTTTAAACCCCCAAAAATACGATAATACGGTCAAACATCGGAATATTCAATGGAAACAATCTTTAATGATTCAATTACCTTTTTAATTCGCGCGACACTTTCCGGAGAGGGTTGATGCGCAGGTTTTACAGCATCTGGTGGTGGCTCCTCTGGAATAGGTGAAATTGTTAAGGTATATTATCAATCGGTCACGTGATTATAAAGAAATTCAATTTAAATAAGGATATTTTCTGAATCATAATATATTGAAATGGCGACAAATTTCTTTCTACGACTTCTATTAATCAGTTTGAGAGCAGGTGCCTAAAAAAGTACATATATGTATTAAATAGAGGTCTTAATTTGCATTAACATTAAAATTGTGGATTCATTATTCACCTGCCCTTCTCCTTTCTGAACCAAGACTTTGACCACCGCCATATTTTGTCGATAACTGTAGATAAATATGTTAACAAATGGATATGACATATAATAACGCGCGCAAAAATTACCCATATCCCATAGGACATTCGATACGTGAAAATGATGGTGGTGGTAGATTATCTTCATCTCTTTTGTCGTTTAATAAAGATTCGAAATCCATAATTGTATTGACTATTCGTTTTATATTCCATTAGACAATTTCGTAATTTTATAAAATATAAAATATTACTTGCTATATCTTACCATCAAAATTTTCTAGTGCTTTCCTATATC